CCTTCCCCGCAGGGGAGCTCAGCTCTTTCTCCCCGTGGAGGCCGCTCCTCAAAGTTGCCTATAGATCTGCCTCATTCGCAAAGCAGGCTGTGCATCTCTCCTTTTAGTGCTGAAAAATGTTGCTTCTTTAGCATGTGAGGTTTTCTATTCCCCATGAGAACTTAGTTTATCGAGGTACCTAGGCAATGACCAAAGTCACAACTGGCCAGTGGATGTTCAAGTCGTGTTTTCTCCAATGAATGGAGAGCTGATTTTCTCTTGAAGAGCAGCACTGTTTCCCACTCCAACCTCTTATGGTGTGTAAATGTGCTTTTCTTTATGTTTTCTTAATAGATGGCATGGGAGTCACGCTGCAGTGTAAATAGATTGGAAAGGAAAAGAAACAGAAGCTCACAGTTATGTGGCTTGGAAATAGGCTGAGGCTGGCTGGTATAGTCTGCCGAGACCTGTGAGAGGGGCATGGGTGGGGAGCAGGTAAAAATCTCCGTATCTGCAGGCTGCAGAGGTTGCTGGGAATGCAGTGGTTACAATGCCCCATGTAGAAGCTGGCACCAAGGATGGAGAAGTGGCGGTCAGAGGAGGTGGACTTTGCCCTCTCTGTTTCCCTAGCATCTGGATGCTGCCCTGTAGCCTTTGGACACTGAAAGACTGGGAATGGCATCGTCTGCAGGTTAGGAATGGGCCGTGACCTAAAGACACATTAGGCCAGAGCCAGTGGCAGAGTTAAGGACAGTACACATGACAATTGCCACATTCATTCCAGATAGACTAATGAATCCTTCACAAAGCTCTACACAATACTCAGTTCTAAGGCCCATGTTTTGTCTTGTGTGTCATAGTAATACAACTTATTACAGCCTAACTAGGTGGAGTGCTGGTCAACCAAGCCAGTAACAGTGTTTTCTCCCCTCATTGTTCAACTGCATGATAATAATGAAATGTTAGGGTGATGTGCATGAAAGTAACCCCAATTTTTTCAAGAACACAGACTCCAACAGAAACAATTCTCCAGCAGATATCATTCAGACTCTTATTTTCCAGAATGAGGTGTGTAAAGACACCAAAGTCAGTTTTCCAAAATGGGAATAGGAGACTCACCTCTATGATAGAGAGAAACTTGGAAATCTGCTAAATTGGTACATGATGTTTGTGAGTAATGAGAGCTGGTTATGGATTTCATGTTGATCAAACCAGTAGCGAGTGACCAGAAAGTCTGCTGGATGCTTGGACTTAGGGTCTTTAATTTTTAGTCAGTCCCACTGCAAGCTCCACTTTTGCTTCCAACTAATTTATAATTTAGATCACATACTTAACAAACCTACTTTAGAATATCATTTGCAATTTATATCTCATGGAAGTATGACATCAGATTTCATGGTCTGATCCTGTTCTGGTGCGTGGTTCCATGGTTGCCTTAGTAACTGAGTTGCCATGGATTACCCTGCAGGAGTCTTAAGGGTCAGCAAAGACCAGAGCCCTGTCATTCTTCATTCAAAAGCAATTGTCCCTGAAAATTGTGACTTGCTCCAATATTTAAGACTTGAGCACTGATATTAAACTAGGATGATCCTTGGGTTAAAAACCAATAATTAACCTTGGCTTCAACTCTAGGTCACACTGTAATAGCAATTTCATAAAGTGGACCTTCTTCTGTCTTTCATTCTTAAAGTCCCTGGATAGGTTTTAGATAATACGCCTCTTGAAAAAGCACACGGTAATCGTGGCAATTTATTTTATGTCATTATCTAAGCCCAAGAGACCTCACAGTTCCCGCTCTTCTCTCTGAGGTAATTGTACGCCTCTCGGGACTGGATGAGGCGATGTTAATATTCCCCACGCCATCCTCTTGAAAGGATTCACAGCCCACAAGGAGACCCTTGTCTTGATGCTTTTGTACAAATTTTTAAAAAGACAAATATAAGGCATTTCCTTTCCTTACTAAAAGAATAACTTTCCTTCAAACCAGTCTTTGATGTCATGGATTTATGATATCTATTCTGAATAGCAGGTTTAATTTCAGTGTGAGAAATAGGCAGCTTGATGATGCTATAACTTAAGGATTATACATTAAGATCATCTTTGGGGTGTAGGAAATGCCACTCTTCCCCAATACCTCTAAGTTATTTCTAATTACCATAATACATAATAGAGACAGAATATGCTTAAGCACTTGATTAAATTTTTAATATTAGTCACATAAAATTTTGGCATTCACACAGGAAGAAGGTAAAATGATATTTGCTTTGAACAGGGATTTGATGTTTTTTTGTTTATTTGGAAGTTACCACAGATAGTAATCATAGAATGTTAAATAGCTATTTTTTTTAGTGACTAAAGACAAAGTTGTCACTTGTCATTTAGACATCTAAGTTCCAGGATCAAATGTTTTTTTTGCAAACATGTTTGGAACTTGGTCACATTATAATGTAGGTAATTTAAAAATATCCTTAATTATTTTAATATAAACAAACTCAACTATTTCCCAAGAACAAAAGAAGTCTTACAAAAGTTTTAATATACAACAAATTCTTCCTGTATTCATTCTTAAAAAATGAATAAAAATGGCTTTTCTTGCCTATCTTTTTTGTGTTCTTATGATCAATACCATTTTATGTGCTGCCACATTCATTAGAGATGGATGAATAACACTGTTGATGTTAGGAGAGGAAACAATGCCAATTTACTCGGTTATTACATGCATTGATTATACGACAGAACATAATTTTCTCTGAGAAAAAGAAATTCTATTCTTTTGGTGAGAACACAAAGGAACTTGGGGCAAGGTATTTGATTTTCTTTAGTGTCTAATTACAGTCATAATCGAAAATATTGCCAGTGAGCTATGGTATCATTTATCTCACTTGTGCGTTTGAATCCATATTTCAGCCAGAATGGAGAACACAGGTAAAGCGTGGAAAACAAGTCTCATACATGACAAAAACATGATCCCCATCCCGCCTTTTCCCAGTGACCCTGGGAAACAGAGGTTCACCAGGCCTCCTTGCAAACAAGCAGGTTTGACTGTATTGTGATCTGTCACCCATGACCTGACTCTTTATTCTCATTTCGTTTCAGAGAATAAAAAGAACCCAGAATTTTAAATCTCGCGGGGTGCTGACATCACCGGCTGCACCCATGACAGGCCTAGCTTTTGGCGCTGGGGCTCTGGATGCGGAGTGGAAGGTGGTAGTATCTCTGCGTGACGGTGAGGAGTTTAGTGTAAACACACTCATACTGCGCACGCGATCTCTAAAAACCAACTTGAGCGGTGCACTGTGCGTGTACCCAGGACACCAGCGCATTTATCCTATTTACCCTCAGACGTTATTGTGTTAGCGCAGTGTTGCCCTTTCTCTTCCTCTCGGGCACAGATCAGTCTGCCATGTGGTGCGAGCTGGTTTCAGCCTGGCAGTGAAGGCAGAAGAGCACATTGGCTTCCTCACCAAAGTCAGCGCTTGTGCAGGGTGTCGCTGTGATCCAGGCCGTGGCTCTTAGGGTCAGGCAAGTTCTAAGATACTCTGAAGTAAACAGCACTTTTTTTTTTTTTTTTAAGCGCACTTATTTTCCCATCTTGCATTCTCCAATTCTCAGACTTTTCTTTCTTTTTCTCCTAAATTGCTGGAGTGGCACGCGTCCTCAGAGGTATTCCAGGAAACCTTTTCAAATGCAGGGTAACAAAGAAATCAAGGGCCTTGGGAAGGTAGAGCAGGTTTTTTTTTTTTTTTTTTTTTTTTTTTTTTTTTTTTTTTTTTTTAATAGTTTTAATTGTGTCTCTTCTGCCTATTCCATATAACTAACTCTCCAGCCTCCCTCAGACCCACACCAAATCCCGAGGCGGAGCAAAAAAGCACTGGGACGGCTTCTCCACACCTTTCCACCAGCGAGGGCTTTGTTCCCGTTTAGAGGCTGCTGCTCCATCAGTCCTGGGCCAGCTCCGATAAGGGACCTCCCGCGGCTCAATTCTGATCTGGTTTCCAGCCCTGCGCCCCGGGATCTATAGCGATGCCAAGAGCCTGAAAGATGGACCTGGCTGAAAAGAAGAGCAGCGGGGGGCTGTGACGGATGCCTGCGAAGCCCGGCTTATGCAGGGCTCCCGAGGGGGCCAGGCCTTCATTTCCAGCCGGCTTTCAGTACCTGGCAGCCGAGTCAGCATTGATTAGTTTCTGCGAACTGCAGGGTGATTGCGAAAATGCACCGGTGCCCGCGCCCCGCCCCCCTCGCCCTGGGAAGGAGCCGCTGCTGGGACCCCCCCCCCCCCAGGCATTCCAGCCCTCCAAGCCGGTTTAATAATCAGGCAAGGATCATCTGGTGAGGAAGGCAGGCCCCTAGAAACTCTGCCGGAAAGGTTGCGTTGTAAATTCGAAGGAACCTCGCGGTGGTGTCTCCATGCTGGGAAAAGCAGCCCTTTGTGGGAGGGGACTTTGATAATACACAAACTTTTACTGCAGAGAAATACTTTGTGGACCCACAAGTATTTTCAGATAAAATTTCTTGGGCAAAACTCCAAATTCCTTTTACTCCAGTGCCCCTCCCAAACAAAGGCTACTTCTTTCTGAGTCTCTATTTATTTGGGCGCAAGGAACATTCTGTGACTCTGCAGTAGATACAGTGTTTCAGAGTAGTTTGCAGTTCTATGGCTAGATAGTCTCTATCTCTGTCTCTCTCTCTCTGTCTGTCTCTCTGTCTCTCTAGAGCGCCACCCCACCCTACTAGGGCCGTTGCATTGCTCTGCATCCTCAGCATTTTTGGAGGGACAGGTTCTCACTAAATTTTCCCAGACTGGGCTGAAGCTTGAGATCAACCTGCCTCAGCCTCTCAGCCTCCCAGAGTACTGGAATTATGAACTACTTGCTTAGCTTGGATTTTTAATATTGCAACTGCTTTGGACTCTTGGACCCAGCAAGACTTTTCTTTGTGAAGCTGTCCAGCTTTCTGGGCCTCTCACTTTTGCTTGCCTTGGAGACCCTGCCAGCTAAGCTTGCTCTTGGGTCTACATATTACAGAAAGACAGTGCCGTGGCTTGGGTCTCCTTACTGCGGTGATGGAAGTCAGCTCTTTCCACAGGAAGGGGCGGGATTAAGGACGAGGGCTGGCAGACATCTCCGAGGGGCTGCAATGTTTGGTTTTCCCGCCCAAGTCCTCCTGGAGGCCCGGGGACCGCATGTGGCTGTGGGTACGGTGAGGGGAGGGCCGAAGCAACCGGCTTTGTGGACCCCTCTTCCCTTTGTGCTGGACCTGGGGAGGACTGGGGGCCTTTGAAGCCAAGCGGAACTCAGAGGCCACCGGAGGCCCCGGGGTTGAGTGGCAGCAGCTAGCTTCAGGGTCCCCAGGGGAACGCAGGCCCGGGGTCCCTCGGGAGAGCTAGAGTTTCACAGAGAAGGGGCTACAAAGTGTCCCCTGCAAATAACTCCGCGCGCGGAAGCCAGACAGATGGGTCTGGAGAGGAAATCGGAGGCGCGCTCCCGGAGGGCTGGGTCTGTCTTCTGCAGAAGCTGGGACGTTTCCTGCGGGCTCTGGGGAGACCGAAGAATTTTAATACCTTTTCCACCTTTCTACCTGGGGAACAGCTTACCAGTGTCCTTTGCCGAGCTCGGCTAATCCGCAACCCTCAAGTCGGCCTTGGCTAATAGAGCCAGGTCAGTCCTGCAGCATGCGGGCTTCAGAGCCGCACAATGGGTCCTGCGAGGCGGGCGCGGGCCGTGGGGGCTGCGGGCAGCGGGCAGCTGGCGTGGGCTGGCGGGCTGTCCTCCCTTTATGAACCGGCTACCTGTGGAGCCCGCCTCTGCAAAGCCTTACAGCGGCCACAGACAGATTTACAGGCCTTTAAAAACAGCGCTGAAGCGCGACAGCCTCGGTGGTGTTTACCCGGGCTTAAGGCATTTTACCAGCACTGCGCGCGTGTCAGGCCTCGCGTTATCCAGGGGCAGTGGGTCTCTGCGCCTAGCAGGCTGGGAGGGATTGGTGCTAACTAAGAGTATTTCACGTTACAGAAAGTATGTGCGTCCTAAATATTTGGAGTGAGTTCCAGAGGAAAAGATACCATTTGCAGTATTTCATTTACTACAGCAAAATTATAGGATATGAAAATCATTCTAATATTTGTATCCAATTAAAAATTAGTATCTTCTTAGTAGCATACGGTAGCACACACTGTAATCCCAGAATGCTGGAGGCTGGGGAAGGAGGACTGCAAACAGGTTCTAGGAAAGAGAGGGAGAGAGAGAGAGAGAGAGAGAGAGAGAGAGAGTTTTTAGCATATAGCACAAGCTGGCTTCAACTTGTGTTTCTCCTTCTCCTCCTGCCTCAGCCACCTGTGTGGCTGTGACTACAAGCATGCACTATCAGGCCTGGCCAATTATTATTATTATTTTTTTTTTTAAGAACAAAAGTATCCCTTCCACAATGGCTGAGATCCTAACAACCTGAGAAACGCCAGTTCTGGGGCTGAAAGAGGAAAAACCCCTCACCTTCTCCCAAGCCCCAGAGGATGGCCAACATCGCACTGTACCCTTCTGTACCAGGTTGCATTATGCCTTCACTGAGCCCCTCTGAGGGTGGTGCTAATGTCACCATATAACAAATCAAAGACACAGTGTTAGAGGTGGGGGTTATTGGCTGACTTTGCATGGGGAGAAGTAGAGGGTCTAATCCGCAGGGTGGGAGAGGACCAGTGAGCCCGTGGGAAAATCAAGACTCTTTTGTGGCTCTTTCTTTGTGGTGTGTATTTTCCTGCTCCATAGCAAGACAAGTTTTTTTTTTTTTTTCCCCTCGAGATGCCCTTCCTGTGGTTGACCCCATTCCTACAGCACAGAGCTGTGGCTTATGTTTATGTGGCCATTTTGTTTTCTTGTGTCATCTCTATAGTCTAGAATCAAGAATGGTATAAGTTGTCTTGGGTTTTTGGCCTTTGGGAAGGTGGCTTTGGAGGGTGTGGAAATTCTGAGAATTGCTAAAATTTTATTTAAAATGGTTGAATGCCTGTGGTCTCAGGGTGGATGGTTACACAAAGGTACCAAGCAACCCTTTGATTTTTCTGGCAGCACCCATGTACATTTGACATTAAGAAGGACTGGAGAAGAGGAGGAAGGGATCAAAGGTCACACTAAAGGTCAAGACCAGGAGCATGGGAGGAGGCTGGAACAGAAGAGACATTTGGAGCTTAAGACCCCAGAGGGCGAGGAGTGTTTGTGCACAACCGCTCCAGGTGGCAGAAGTGGCACATTACCTGTTTACTACCTGTTACTGGCACATGGCTGGGGAGGATCTGGCCTCATGGCTGGGGTGCAGCAAGCACCAGTCATTGGAGAGGATAGACCAGCGTCCTCCCTTGTAACTCACTTGTTTTACTTTGGCCTACTCAAGCGGGGAATTCCCAGTTCCATCCGGGTTAGTAAGAGTGTGGAGGATCAGAGGAGAGGGTCTTGCAGCTCCAGAGGCTGCCCACAGGAGCACGGTGAAGATACTTGGGTGATGATACAGTAAAATGCAAATGAATAAACAAACCAACAACGAAAACGAAGGAAGCAGCAGGAAAGGAATCCACCGGGCCATCCAGGGTCCCCGGGCTTCTGGCTGGCTCTGGCCACTTGCTCTGGCACCCATGTTCTCCCCATTTCTCCTCTGGCTGCATCCACTCCTTAGCTGGTATTCAAATTCATTCTCTTCACACAGTAGAGGGGAAAGTCATATTAAGAATGGTCAGATCCTGCAGGGATTTTGGGAAGTGTGCATCCAACAGAGAAAGACAGGTCTCCCTCCTGACTGTCTGTATCCAAATGTTTGCCCTATGTCTTTGGCTTTCTTCCCCTGCCACTGGGACTCATGTACGTGACATGTCACTCTGTCCCCGACTCAGAAGTGTGGCATACCTCTTCCTTAACCAGGCACTGGCGAGGAGGGTGGGGTCACTGTCACTGCTTTGTAGAATCCTTTCCCATGAGCAGACGTCGCATCACAGGAAGAAGTGGAAGTGTGAACAAGCAGGGATTTTTGAGTAGGTAACCAATAGCAACAGCTATACTCCACGTTCAACTAAACAATCATACAAATATTATTAAGTCAGAACACACACACGCACTCCTAGAGGTACAAGGAAAAATGGAACTGTCATCTCCACTTCGGGCTGCATTCTTGACACGGGCCACTCCCCCTCTGATTGTCACCAGTGCCATGAGAGTGTAGCCTCATCTCACTGGATCCCTGGGGTTCCTCCTCATCAGTTTCCTACCCAAAGATCTGCTCTCTTCCGGGCCAGAAATGATCATCTTCATGTGCTCACGGGGCTCACCTCATGTTCATGTCTGCAAATTTTCCACTTTTTCAGAGAGGTTGCTCACATCAGATTAGAGCTCACCCCAACTACCTCAGATCAACTGTCTGTTTCTGCCCAGTCTCTGTTTCCGGGTGAGATCACTTTCACACGTACCAGACGCTGAGAGTCCCGTGTATGCCTCTTAGAAAGACAACTCAACCTACCACCCTCCTCTTGGCCAGTCCAACTTTGGTCGGCATCTGTTTCTTCTGTCTAGAAGACTCTTTTCCTTACTCTCTGCTTAATTAATATTTGTTCTGTGCATCCTGCAGAGATCTAGCTGAATTCTCGTCCTTCAGAAGACCCATTTTAGATGCCTCTAGATAAGTTGAGCTTCCAGGCTGGCGGTTTAGCTCAGAGGCACAAGTGCCTGCCTGGCATGCATGAGGCCATGAGTTTGATCCCTGGTACCAAAAGAAAAAAAAATCTCAAAAAAGGAGTAAGCTAAGCTTCCTGTGACATGCTCTCACGACACCTGTTACTTCCTACTCATGTGCAATGTTTAATTCTGGATTTGGCTGATGATTTGTTGGTTTAATGTCACCTTCCTCCTGGATGATAAATTCTGCTGATAGTAACTGCCTGTAATCTGTTTATCACTGTATTTTCACTGCCTACACAGCGGCTTCCGTGGAAAAGTACTCAACCATTTACTGCATGAGCATGAAGAATTAGAAGTCATTATTTTCTTAGTTCTTCTCTCTTCCATTCCCACTTCTGATGCCATTTTCTTTTTTCAAAAGCAACAACTTTATCATTTCTTTGCAGGAGTCTTTGCAAATGGGTGACAAGAAGAGAGGACCACATTGCGGTGGAAAGCTGGGTATTGGTGAGGTTCTCTTCAGTGACTTTTCATCACATAGTGGTATGTGGTTTTCATCTGTTCTTTAGAGAGATCACTAATGACTTATAACACCAGCACTTAGGGTACCTTTTATCAACCCACAAAGGTTGCATCTTTAAATTCCAAGTGTCTTTTCAAAACAAATTCGTAAAATTGAGCGTTTGCCTGTGGTAAAGACCAACGCATAGGTAGAATGAATAAATACATGAATTTTCTTTGCTTCATGTATCAGTTCAGTTTGGTGATGCAAATTATTTCACACTGATTGTAAGAGAGTCTTCCAGGGAACCAAAATAGTATTACTAATGAATTCGTGTAAGCTAGCATGCAATATCTCCAACGCATACAGTCCTTGGTAGATGTTGGCTTTTCAGGGGCAGGGAGGGAGGTGAAATGTCTCTGTCCTCAGCATCTGTATAACACTGCTGCCTTGTCTTTATTTGGGCTGGAAAAGTCAAAGAGGAAGAGTCATACAAGCCTTTCTGTAGCTTCTACTGATCCATTAAACCTAAAATAGATTAGTCTCTAGAGACTGTCAGCTTCCCGGACAGCAATTACAGTGAAAGATGGCAGGCCAGAGACCTTCACTTAGTTGAAACTGAATGGCCAGCGTAGCTGCCTCCATCCTCCTCCTTCTCATCCAGCACAGCCTGCGTCTCCAGCCGGCTGCCCACCCAGTCTGGGCCAATTCCTTCCCCAGCCTGAAAGGGCAGAGACTTGTGGACTTCTGAGCTTTGCGAGATGCCCACATGGAAAGGAGGGGATCTCACCATACCTTGCAGAACACTGCATCACCTGTAAGATAAAAACAGGCTGAAACCCAGGAAAGCAACACATACCGGATAATGCTTAGCTCAAGGAGCCCCACCTTACTCGGGGAATTGAAATAAAGAGACATGATAATCTACATTGGTACCATAAAAATATGGTGGCTGTTTAAATGGAATACTGCAGTAAGAGACACACTGCCTCAAACCCTTCAAAATACCTAGCACTTCCTCCCTAACTTCCAGCTGCTTGTCCCATTGCTCCTTTTTTTTGCAGCAGCTCCAGAGGTCTTCTCCTTCCTGGTGTCTTTATCTGTGCTGTTGTAGCTGCCCTGGTGTCCTGAATCAGTTCACAATGTTTACCTTTCACGGTCATTTTCGCTTTGGGGAAGAGCCAGAAGTCACAGGATGCTCGATTCAGTGAGTAAGGTAGATGAGGACACACCATAGTGTTTTAATGGGCAGAGATTGCTGGAAATATTTGATCTAGAATGGTGATCAAAATGTATGGTGACCATGTGAATAAAAAATATATTACAGCGAAAGACACATTGGCATGTATCCCCCTCAAAATACTCAAACCATTCCTCTCTGAATATATTTTCCCCATCATTCTTGGCAATGTGGTTTTTGCTGTTAAGTTAAACATTCATCTTATTTTTCCATCTCTTTGAAAGTTTTATGAGAAATATGTTTTGTAACAAAACTTATCGGATTTGTTAAGAGCAGCTAAGGTAGGATTCATATTTAAGTGGAAGACACCAAAGTAACTTTTCTAAGCTACCTAAAGAACAGTAAGCATAACATATTCATTTATTATTAAAACTAATGTTTATTGAGATCTGCTTATTGGGCGAGTTTTCTTCTGAAGATTTGAGCAACTTCAGAACTGATATGGAAACACCAGACAAGCAGGTCCTGTGCCTGTCCCTGAAGGATCTAAGAGCCAGGGAGAGCTGCTATTTATCTGTCAGGTGATGTTAGAGCAGCTCGAAGAGATAACTTTTCCTCCTGGAGAAATTGACGGAATGCCTCAGCCCCGTAGCGACCCTGCCAGCTGGCTGATCCTCGGGGATTTTTTAAAAGTTGTGCATGCTCTGCAGGCTGCTGGTGTGCGGCTCCTGGGACCTGTCAGTTTGTTACTCTGCAGGGCACTGGGCAGGTCCCGCGGCCAAAGGCTGAATCTCCTCTGTGTATGAAGATTGGAATTCTCGGCCTGCTAGAAAGGGTGTGTGTCACTCTGCTTCCACATGCTTTCCATGGTGAAAGAGCTCTCGAAAGCTGAAGCTATTCAGAATACACTTAAGTGTAGTAGGTGATTATAACTCATTTGACTTTTTTATTTTAAATTTTTTACTAGGACATAAAGGCTGCGTTCACTGTGAGAAGGCAACAACGCATGACCCCACACATCTTGATTCTGTTTATGTTCTCTTCCCCGTGCCTCCATTCCCTCTGCCTCCATCTCTTTTTCACTTTAAATACAAACTGCCTGATAGCCAACTCTAATATTAAATAAAACGCTTACTTTTCCCGAGTTCGTAATTCTCTGTTCTCATTCAAGTCTTTATTTATAAGTTGAGTTCCATATCCTTAGCTCCAAATTTTATTTCAGATTCAACACACTTAATTTCTTCAACACATTCAATTTTGCACAAGCTATGGAACGGAGTATCACTGACAGTGTTGCATGACCTTTTGGCTTTCCAGCCATGATCATGATCCATGATCACCTCCTCACACTTCTTGGTGACTCCATCTGTGTAGACGAGGATGTCTTACCATGCACGAGCTCTTCAAGCCCATGTGAGTTAAAGTGATTTTACGCCCCCGTAATAAAATTTTCACGTGGATGCCTATGGTGACAGCCTGCATTACTTCCTTAGTATCATCGTTGTAAAATCTCACTAAAGAGAGGAAAATTTGAAAGCTTATGGATTAGTTGTTATCAACATTTCAGGCCAGGAGAACAATACCTAAGATGTTTTGAGAGCTTACTTTAATCCACTAACTGTTCTATGCCTTTTTAATGTATTTACTGACAATTTTTTGACATAGATACAACTGTTATCTCCATGTTACAGATGAGAAAATGGAGGCCCAGAAAGCACAGTGAGTTGCTTATTAAATGACGATGTTAGCAAACTGACATATTATTAGTCAGCCTATGCTTTAAACAACTAAACTCGTAGGCAGTAATTTGTAAATGTTTCTAAATAAAATTGCATTTTAGTGAGATTATCATTTCCTTAAACCTCTAAGTGTTATAATACTAGGTGGTGTATGTGGTGTGATAAAAAAATGTGGTGGATATTTAAATTTTAAAAATTGTTACAGTAGAAGACACACTCCCATTAAGCTCCTTCAGACTCTGCCTCACTTCCAACACTCTTCTCCCACCATTTGGCCACTTCTTAAAGCAGTTCTGAAGTTCTCTTTCCTGATGTCCTTAGTCATGGTAGCTTGGTGGCTACCGTGGCTGAAAAGGTGGAATACCTTTTCAGCGATTTCTGCCAAATAGAAACATCACAGTGGTTCTCATCCATCTTACTTACTGTAACTGATACAGTGCAATTTCTGACTCCTCTCCAAAGCCAAGATGATAAAAACAAACAAATAAACAAGCAAACAAACAAACAAACCAAGTTGACTGTGAAGGTAAATTTGGCGTTGACTCCAGACATCAAGGCAGCCATGACAGCACAGGCGTGACATTCATGGAAGAGTACTCTAGAGCTGCTTCAGAAACTGACATGAAGGATGGGACCAGTGTGTTCAAAATGGGGAGGATTTTGAAGGGCTTTCATAGCAACATGGCCTTCACTGCAAGACAGTTTTTAAAAAATTAAATATCTGAATATATGCTCAAAAAGAAAAGAAAACCAGTCTGGAGTTCTGCTCCTGGTTGTCCACACTCAGGGAAGACCCACTGCCGCCAAGCTGTTGTCGTGGGTGATCTGCTCAGGAAAGACCCGGTGCAAACGCCCAGGGCTTGGGTCTCTCAAAGTACTGATGTCTGAGGATTAAATAAGTGCCTAAATATGAGGTTTAATTTGTTTAAAACCAAATTTGAACCCTACAACCCAGCCAAAGGCCCTCCTGTTAGTGTCAGAAGGCTGAACTTGGTGATTTCCTCATTCAAGGTACATATCCCTCCTTTGGAAAGTGAGAGGGTTAGAGGGTCCCGCCCCAGCAAGGCCAGGAGCTGCAGCAAAAGGCAGCTGCATCCTGCAGGGAGCTCACCGGCCTCACGTGCAAAAGGAGCTGAAATTTTGATGTGGTACTCTAAGGAATGATGATCGCCCTTCCCTTTCTCCCTCCCTCTCTCCTTTCCTCCTTCCTTCCTTCTTCTTTTTCTTCCTTCCTTCCTTCCTTCCTTCCTTCCTTCCTTCCTTCCTTCCTTCCTCTTTTTCTTCTTTCTCCTCTCTCCTTCCTTTTTCCTCCCTTCCCTTCTCTCTCTCATTGTAAACACATATATCTGAGTGTGGTTTATAAGGCCGGAAATGTTCTACCTCTCTGATTTCCGGCGCTGTCCCCAGGATGTGCACCCAGGGAGGGTGGTGGGAAGCAGCCGCTGCTGGGCCAAAGCTCTTCCTGGTCGCACAGAGCCAGACTCTGCAGTCACTGTCGCCGGGGCCTGGGGCACGTGGAGCAAGGTGTACCGAAATGCAGTTAAGTGATGGAAGATAGGAAGTCTTTCATGTGACCATCCCATTTCCTCATGAATATTGGATAAGTGAATATTGATTAGGATTCATTACAAGACTCCTTATTACATCCATTTTTAAACTTCTGATTCAAACAAGTGATGGTTAAACTGAGGACGCCTTCAAAACCCAGCAACTAACCTCTGCCTAAGGAGCACTTACTCCTTGGCCCTACCATCTGCACCATGTAGAGCTCACAGTATTTCTCTCCAGACACCTGGGCCAGACTCACATGTCTTTGGCTGGCCTCTACTGGCACCTCTGGGCAGCTGTCTCTGGCTTGCAGGGGCCTTGGGCTGGTGGGCTGGACCTGTGAAGAGGGCTTGCATCAGTGTACCAGCCTTCCAGGCAGCCCTTGGAGTTGGGTAAGGTGGGCAGGTGGGCAGGCAGTGAACCAGTGGGCAAGCAGGTAAGTAGCGGGATGGGCAGTGAGGCAGGTGGGTGGTGCAGGAGGGTAGATGTGCAGATGGGCGGGCAGGTAGATGGGCAGGTGGGCAGGTGGGCATGCAGGCAGATGGGCAGGTGGACAGATATGCAGGCAGCGAAGTGAGGGCTGCAACGAACTCTTCTAAACATGAGAGCCGCCTGAAGAAGGATCGTTTTCAGAAGGCAGCAGGCCTGCTGTCTCCTTCCCGCCTATTGCTCCCCTTCAGGCTGGAAAAGGCCTGTTCTCTGTCATAAATGCTATCCTGAGTGACTCTCAAGCCCTGGAGGAAGTCTGAGGTCAGCTGGCTCAGGAATGTCCCCCACAGGGAATTCTGCAATTCTTGTCCCCTCAGGTGGCTTTGGGCGGGCCTTTGTTTGCAGGGAGCCTTAGCTTGTGCTGGGCAGGGCTTCCCCTGTCTCTGGCCGTCTCTGGCTGACTTGTACAGTGGCCTCAGAATTGTAGATGTTTGTTCCTGGCTTAGGGTCTGAGCTCTAGCCTGCCTTCCCCATGACTAAGCATTGAATAACAGTGGGCACTTCGGCTGCATTAGTAGGGGCCCAATCTCCTCCTTAGGGTGCTTTGGGTCAGGAACAGATTCCCCAGGTCACTATTTTCAGGAGTTTCCTTTCCATGACAACCCACCTTTTAAACCAAAGCCACACAGGTGGAAAAGGTTTGTACTGCGTAGAGGCGGTGGCAGCTGGAGCTATGGCTTGGCCAGGGTCTCTGCCTTGATCTCAGGGGGGCTGAAGGGGAGTGAGTCACAAAGCAGATTTAAGAAAAAGTATTTATTAGTGCACTTGTGCTGTTCATAATCCCTTTACTCTCCTCCTTACCCTCCCCATCCCCTGCCCCGCCCCCTCTGCAAATGTCTACATCTCCTCCTTAATCACCCTCATCTCTCCCTTATTTCGCTCTTCATTTATATTTTGGGTTTCTCTGATTTCAATAACTGCCCTGTGAGAAGCATAAATACAGAACCCAGGAGGTTTGAAGGAGAAGGGGCCTGCTTTGAGATGTGAGATGGACCCTGGGGGTGGCAATGGAACTTTGCAACAGGGACCATTTCACTGGGCAGAGAACGAAGGGGCTGATTTCCAGAGCTGGAAAGGCACAAGTGATATGTGGGCCCTGGTGAGAAGCACAGGGGTTGTTTGCTGGGATCTTGGGCTCCCAGCACCTGCAGAGCCACCAGGCTCCCATGGGTGAAGGACACAAGGGAAGGCCAGAGATGGAAGGGTGCAGTGCCAGGGGAGAGAGAGAAGGGGCAGTCATGAAGCC